CGTAAACGGGGGAAATCCCCCAAAAAATTACAAATTTAAAAATCGCTAATTTTCGATATTTTTTCATTTTTTTTTACTTAAAATTGCCATAACTTTTTTGAAAATGACCGAATCAATATAATTTTTTTTTTTATAGATACCTTAGATAATTACCTATCATTTTATATATTTTTGTGGAACATTTGACCCTTTAACAGGCCACAGGATGGGGTTTCAAAATGGTAACTTTTTTACAAAAATTAACTTTTTCAACTTAACTTTTGAAAATGTTCCGGAAAGACTGACAATTTTATATATACCTTAAATTAAAGCTAATGTAATATACTTTAATTTGAAAAAAAAAAATTTGACCTCTGGACTTGTCTTCATGGTGAAAATGACTACCGTATGCAAAAATATGCTATTTTTGTGAAAAAATTCTTGATATTATATTTTACATTTTTTAACATTATGTTGCTATAACTTTTTAAAAAATGCATGAATCAACTTTATTCTTTAATGATAAATACTTTATATATACTTCTTTCATTCGACATACTTTTTTTTAAAATCGGACCATTTCCCTTTATACAGGGGGGGTGCAAACCTTTTAAAATGCGTATAGAAAGTAGAACTTTTTCAACTTAACTTTTGAAAATGTTCCGGAAAGACTGACACTTTTATATATATCTTAAATTAAAGCTTATGTAATATACTTTAATTTGAAAAAAAAAAATTTGACCTCTGGACTTGTCTTCGTGGTGAAAACGGACATCAAAGTTAAAGAAAAACGTACGATATCCGTGAAAAAAATCTCGATTTTATATGTTATATTATTTAATTTATATTTTATATAACTTTTGGAAAAATGTATGGATCTATATTATTATTTTTTTATAATAAATATTGATATACCCCTTTCATCTGGCACGCTTTTTTTGTAAATCGGATCATACCCCTTTAACAAGGGGGGTCAAAACTTTAAACATGCGTATTGTTACTACGATATTTTCAATTTAATTTTTGAAAGTATTCCGGAAATACTGACACTTTTAAATATATCTTAAATTAAAGCTTATGTAATATACTTTAATGTGAAAAAAAAAAATTTGACCTCTGGATTTGTCTTCATGGTAAAAATGACTACCGTATGCAAAAATATGCTATTTTTGTGTTAAAATTCTGGGTTTTGTATTTTATTTTATTTTAAAATACCTGACAAGGGGAGTACAGATTTTCATAAATATTATATAAATTAAAATTGATATAGTATAGATAGTTAAACTTATTTAAATATGTTTGTTTCTTTTAAGTCGAGAAAAATAACTTTGAAATTTGAACTAGCTTAAATAGCCAATTTTTCAACCGCCGGAAGCAACGTACGGTTGCCGAGTTGGTAAAATTTATGTTTTACACGCTTGGGGTACGAGGTTCCAACCCGCATATGGCAATGAATTTTTTGCATTTTTTCTTAATTCTTTTTAAGTTAGTATAAATTTTAACTCGTTTGATTTTTATCACATTTAGATTCAATAACTTCAATAAAGATCAAGGATCCCATCACTTTAGTCGCCCCTTGCAAGAAGAAATTTCTTATTCGTATTAAAATTATTTTACTATATTTTAAGTTTTCGCTTCGATGCAAAGCCGAGAAGATATTTTTTTGTGACTATCATTTATTTTCTCTGCTCTAACTTGACCTACTTTTTTCAACAATACGTCAAATTACTACAATTCGTATCTAGTTGAAGATATTACTCTCAAAAATTGAAAAAAAAATTCTAATTTATCAATTAAACAGTTAGTTATTACATCGTCTCCATAAAGACAATTAAAATCATTAATTTCTAATGTTTTCAAAATATTTATTAACGAATGAAGTTTGATATGATAGGTTTCAACTACAAAATTAAATCATTTTACTTTGTAATTTAATAATTTTTTTACTCTATTTGTGTGTGCTACTACTAGACTATAATATTACAATTTTTTTTTGTAACATGTTGCTATATAAATCATTTCTAAAAAAAATGATTGTTTTTTCTCCTGAATTAACAATTGATTTTTACAAATATAATCAAATTTTATAATACACTCAATTGAGTAAATCTTTTTAACAACTTTGTTTTGATTGGTACATTTAGTTAAAGTAAATCATTAAAATTAATTAAGTTCTCAATATTTCAATTATAGAATCTTTTCAACAAACAACAAAAGTTCCTAGGAAATTATTACTATTACTTCTATTTAAGTTATCTATTACCATAAAAATGCAAAAAAATATTGAGCTTTTCTGATAAATTTACAATAAATAGTAATTATAAAACTTTCTGACTGCATATTGATCTTAACGATACAATTTTTTTAATTGTCATAAAATTTTCTATTTAATTATGTCAATGTCAAACTTACCAATTGAGCTAAAAGTTATGGTAAAATAAATTTTTTTTTTTTATTATAAACATTTACAACAATCAACTTTAAACGATTAACAAAATAGGTTAAATATGTCATTTTCCTTATTTTTAACTTATTAATAATCAAATTAATATTAAATATTATATCAAATCAGTATTAATTTAA